GCCAAGTTTCAGAAAAATAGACTGAAGGGTTTTTGAGATATCTTTGTCTACAGCACACGGCCTACGGCTTACAAATTGTGATAGCATTAGTCCGTTGGACCGTTGGTCCAAAGGACTAAAAATTAGCTAAACAGTTCACAACCACGATTTGGTGAATTGGTGAATTTTCAACGAAGACAACGGCTCCGGTCTTGAGCAGAGTTTGCTGTGTCATGAAGTCAACATTTTACATTGTTGAACACTACTTTTCGTTCTTGACATTGTGAAATTATTTCGTTTCAGTTTTGGGGAGAAAAAAATAACCCTGAAAAAATAATAAGATAATTCAGAAATTTATATTAAGAATAATTCATAACGAAATATATTCCATATGCACCCATAAATTATTTTCATAATTACTGATTACACACGAATATTACAGAAAAAGGAGATCATTTGCTATATTCTTATTTGCACGACAATTTTTTGTAAGGGGTGGCAAATTGTCTCGATGTTTTAGCGAGTATCCGCGGGGTATAAAGCGTGTTCTCACACTAGCATAATTTTTCTCGAGTTCACGCATCGCTTTCCCACATGCACAGTGCGTTTGAAAATAGCATAATTATATTGCGTGAGTGGCTGGTGTCACAACGCGTTCTTTTTATTTCCAACGCGCGTGGTAGGCGCATTTGATTGCGTTTATTTTGTATTTTTATTTTCGAAATGTAGCACTCGCTGCGTTTATTTTGTCATGTCTCGCAACTGAACGTCCAAGCTGACTTTGTTTTGGTTGTAAGCGATGGAGAGCGGTGTGGCAGGGTAAGGCTAATTGAAGAATCAAGAATCAACCAATCAAGAATCAACGAATCAGCGATTCACGAATTATGACTATTTTTAATTGCTATTTTATTTGCAAGAACTAGCGTTTTTTTGTTTTTCAAAAATTAAGAATTGGAAAATCCTAGAAATGTCCTTCATGCATGATAGCCTCAGCTCTCACACCCAATGACTTACGTTGGTTTAATTCGAATCTAAAACTGTCAAACACAAAATGTTTTCCTTCACGGAATACTCATAGTGGAAGGCAAGACGTGACGCGCACAGTCCAATCTCCTTCCCAGATACCTTTACGCTTTACGCAATAGTGCCTCTGACACAGGCTGCCTTCAATTTTGTGGTCAATCACCTCACTACGCATGGTCATGTAAATGTATTATCGGGGGTGCATGACATGATTGGTTGAAATAATCGTCTCATATACATAAATTTTAAAAAATGATGTTTTATTCACGTTTTTGATCAGACGCTTATATTTCACTCTAGTACTTGATCAAAATGTTTTCAATAACTTTTACCAGCTACAATTTCCCTAATTTGTATGTATTTCTAGAAATCACTGTGTGTTTATATTTCGTTGAGAATTATTGTTCAAACCGCATTTAACCAGACACATGGAAGGGCGCTATTACCTTTAATTTCTAAACCAAAATACATTTAAATCTTTTTAAATATTTTATATTTAAATTGAGCCACATATAACATTCAGTTATTGAGTGATCTTTAACAAACGCACTTTGAGTCTCATGTATAATGTATAGGAATTTGTTGTGGTGCGTAGCAATACATTGAGGCTATTTTAACACTGCGATAAAGGATATTTTTGTTTGTAAAATTCTTTCGTTTTTTATTTAACATAGTCACATTCATAACCGGGATACTACCATGTCACCGGGACGACTTACCGCTACATCAACACCACATCATGTTGGGAAGCATGCTTTGGAAATGTCACTTTATCATGATAAAGTAGCCAGAAATGAGAATAAAGTAATCTATTGTATTAATTTTACCAGCAGTCTACTGGCTTTTATAGGTAAGACGTGTTTTTTTGTGTTGAATTGTCTTAAAGTTTGAATTCTTAAATCGTATTGCGCTATTTCATATTGCTTCCTGAAACCGTCTTTAAAATAATGCGATTTTATATTCGAATTTTTTCCATAACCACTTTTTATCTGAATTCTGATACTGGTATTCGTCAGCTCAGGAGATGAAATACTCGTGAACATTAATAGACTCAATAAACTTTATTAATTATTTGACGTTTGATTTAACTAAGATTTTACGAGTATGTACTAGCAGCGGGAGGGGGGGCGTATTGTGCAATATATTTCACTAAGATTGACGGTTTTAAGCTATGTTTGTCAATGTACACTGATAATGTCGAAAAAAAAGCACAGGGAAATTGTAACTTCATAACATGAGAACTATATAAGTCACGTTGTTGGTATTTCAAGAACACCTACCGTATAAAGACAAATATGGAAAACCTCAACATTCACGTACCTATTCAAATAACGTTGTAAAAGCTCTCTTAAGTTGGTTTAAACAATTTGAAACAATTTTACCAAGATGCTGAGTTGTTCGAGTTACGAACATCGAGTTACAAAAACATTGAGTTACAGAAATGACCACACCAATACTTTAGAAACCATGCCCACTTTTACAAAACCACGCCGAAATTGTAACTCGATGTTCAATTTTCAGTCGACCGAACTTCGAGTTTGAACGTTGAACGTCCGCATTTAGTTTTTCCATATTTTTCGGTTTTTTCCTTATTTCATGATCTGACATTAATTGTTTTCATACGTGGTGTGTACATGTTCTAAAACATTTTCTTTTACGTGAAACAAATCAATCGAAATTTGCATTAAAAGACTAGTGTATGAATTGTAGATTATTGATTAGTGAGTTACAAGTGACAATCTATATATCCTAATTTTATTTGTTACGGATGTAATATGAACAAGAAATGTCTAATAGGAAATTGTATATCCCAAACAAAATACACATGTTCTAGTAGTTACGATGTTTCGATACAACACTGGCCGGGCATTGACTTGCTAAACATTGCGGGGGGAAAGGGTGATTTGAACTTATCAGCAGTGGGGTGATAATTCTGAAACGAACACGTCGTGAAACTAAAACTCAAACGAGATTTATTCTTCAATAGCGTTCATACAGAGGTGAACTAAAATGCAACTGAATACAATACGAGCGCCAAAAACATACAACGTTATCGTAGATCCCATCGAGTAAAAAATAAAAAGCAGATACGCGGTGATTACTCTGACATTTGAACACAAATTAGCCAAATCACTGCTGGATATGCTAAATAAAATAAAATAAAATAAAATAAAATAAAATAAAATAAAATAAAATAAAGTAAAATAAAATAAAATAAAATAAAATAAAATAAAATAAAATAAAATAAAATAATGAAATGAGAAAACAGATGAATATGCAATGATTCAAAGAAATATATTGTCAATAAATGTGATATAATTAAACATGACGTACTTTATTCTATAAAAAGTCAAATATTATATATAAAGAACGATAAAGCGAATGGATATCCCCCACAAACATATTGCCATACCATAACAAAATTACACAACGTTTAAATCGTCTACCCTTAGGTCGATGTCAGAAAAGTTCACAAAGACATTGTATACAGAAACACGATTTATCTGGGTACATTAAGTGATTGTCAACTTTGTTTACAATTTTAACATGAACTCGATGATTTGTATATGTCGTAGATGTCGCCCTTTCTGTTCACAACAAGTGTGTCATAGAAAGCATTAATACGTAGCGAATTATTTATGTAATAGTAACCGAAAAACTTGCCGCAACGATTGTCTAGAGGATAGAGTTCTTGGATGCAAATAATGACCAATGACCAATTACCCATAATGCAACAGGTTACAGATTGTGCGTAATAGTAAAACGAGCTGGCAATTAAACTTTCTATCATATGACATATACTAGTCAGTCGAACACGAGGTACTTCATTGCAAGTATCCTACTGGTTTAGTTTCAATGGAGAGATAATGTTTTTGAAATCAGATAGGCCTTTTACATCGCGCAGTTTAAATCGCGCAGTGTGGACTGTATTGAACACAATTTTTTTTGTCTACGAGCTAAACAATATAAGTGATTAATAATATGTCTGATTATTGAAGAAACAGGCCTTGTATTCGTTTTTTTCGACATGCGCCCTCTATTGAAAATGTGTGGCAAGTGTAACATAATAGTTGTAACATAATAATTTTATCCAAATAGTTGGTTGGATAAAATGAATGATTGTATTGTAATCTGTCAAGGCATTTACCTATCTGATTCATGATTTTTGAGTTGTTGGTTTTTTTTTTCATTCTGAAATTAATAATTTAATATTTGATATGTGAATTCTCCAAAATAGCTTTGTGCTTATAACAAAGAAGTTGTTTTGAAACGCATTCAAGTGACAGTATCTAACACCGCTATGATAAAAAATATATACATTGGAACTCCCAATGCAAGTGTGTTACCACTGAAGACGCATTCGAATATGATTCGAATTGCATTCGCCACCAAGCTACAATGATTGTCCCTAAAAGAGCTGCTCACCATATAGCAAGGGACATCACTGTGTGGAACCGGTTAAAGTCGAAAACCAGTATATAGCATATCATTCCATATAAATAATACCGGATAACCAACAATAACAAAATACAAATACCTAATCAGTCATTACAATGTAAGGTAGTGTCTGATTATATGTATTGATTCAGTATATTCTATAATAAACAATGAGTATTAAACAAATTTAAAAATACCACACCAGTGCAAAACATTGATAAGAGACACTACCTCAATTTCGAATATGCACGTGATATAGTTAGGTATGTTTCAGATATGAATATATATGAATACCTGGGTGAATCTATGATTCGAATTGCAGTTTTTGTCGTTTATGACATGTCAAACCGGATACATAATATCGCAATAATACATTTAAAAGTCTGGTTATCTGTTTATGAGCATCTTACCCGATGTAACACAATAATACTTGGTAACACCTAATATTTAAAACTGACAATGTTTCTTGTGAAAGTTATTTCTCTCAATGTCCATGTAGTATAATCAAATTACAAGTTGAGCAATGAAAACTTTATGTGGTTTTTGAGGAACGCTACACATTAATTCACTGCATTGGCATTTTCCTTGGATTCCATCAGTCCGTATACTTTTATGCAGTGATTGTTGCCATCCGCAATGGCGACGCGATACGGGTTACAACGGAACACGCTAATACCGAGGATGTCACTGCATCGGTCTCTTTCGTTGATAGAGAATGTCAATTTCAATTCTGGTGTGAACATTTGAATACGACCCCAGCCTGCAATGATGATATTGTCATAAGGGTCTACACATACACTAGCGTTAATGGTGTAAGCAGAATCATCACACGTTCTTTTAGTTTTGCTCGCGTTATCAACTGAATTCATCACTGTAAGCATTCCCCTGTCTGACTGGAGTATCACCAGTCTCGTGTCAGATAACACGGACACGGATGTTGAATTACAATTTCCTAGACGAGGAATGATCATACGATGCTGAAAATTTAGATTTTTGTCATACTTTATTATTCGGTAGTCTCCATCGCCGACCGTAACGTTGGGCTCTTTTTCATCTACTATGTACACCTCAACCAGTCGTAGCGCTACATGTGATATCATGTGGTCCAATGAGTTCACGAGTACCAAATGTTTTAGTGTGTATTTGATTGTACACATCAAACACATGCACGCACTTATTTAGTCGGTCAGTTACAGCGAGTCGCTGATTATCTGAAAGCATTGTCATATGGGTTGGAGAAAAACCTGGAAATGTGTCTGTTGTAAGTTGATGCAGAAATCTACCATTCCGATTCAGTACTTGTAGTCGTTTATTATTGCTGTCAGCAACAATGATGTCATCTCTGGAAGTGGTTGTGATACCAGCGGGGCCGTCGAATTCTCTGTCGGTAGTTCCTTTCACTCCATATTTGTGCAGTATGCTGAGAGTTGGGGAAATTATATTTCCTGGGTTGGATACTATAAAACAAATTGATAAATTGTAATGATATTGTAGTGTGCAACGCCCATTAGTATGTGTTTTAACAGAGCACATGCATTTCTATAAAAAAGAGTTATAATAATAATGTTAGAAGCAGTGAATGTTATTAAGAGACTTTGATGCAATACAGCTTGGCTCAACACAAGCGTAGCTATAACGGTCAACATATACTAGGAAGGGCACTTGAAAATGTTAATACCACCGGATCAAATAAACTATTTTTTTGTATTAAAGTATGTCAAATTATGTAAACGTTTTACAGGGTCCGGCGGCCGTGCTGGGGGTTCATTAAGGCATTTGAAATGAAATGCAAGAAATTAAAATAATACAATTAGTTTTCGTCTGAAATAAACTTAGGTTAGAATGTTTTAAAAGTCTGTATTACCTTGTTTGCTTATGGGCTCCGATGCTGCAATGTAACCAAGGGTCGTCGTCTCGGGAAATCGAAAACGTTCCCGATTTTCGACAAACTCCAACATGCCAACTTTTTCGCTGTGGAAATCCTGCTTCAAAATTGTGTTTGCCTCAGACAATTCATTTTTCACTAAACACAAGAAGCCAATATCATTTTCTAGCTTTTTCAGGCTGTGTGCACCTTCGATAAACTTTTCAATCTTATTTTGCCCCGTTTTAATACTTGAAATCATCTTATCAATTTTGTTTCTTTTCTTGTTATGGGAATCAACCACTTGTTTCAACAAAACTGATTTTTCCTTATTTATGTCTCCAACTATGCGTTCTAGCTGGTTAACGTTAACTCTAGCGTACTCCCCAACTGTTTCGTTCATTGTTTTTGATAGGCTGTCGTTGATTTTCTTTTCCGTATCCACAATCGATTCCATAGACTGTAACTGTAAGTTAAGTTCACGTCCCTTTACGTATGCTTTTTGGAGATCAGCTTTCTTTTCGCTGACAAATTTTTTGATGGAATCTTGAGAGTGTTGCGACCCACAATGATCGGATTCAGTACATTCCTGACATATAGGTATGTCACACTCTTTGCAGTAAAATTTGATTTCGTTGCCGAAATGATTAGGACATGGCATCTTTCTATCGAAAGGTGATTTAAGATATTCACTCTGACGAAATTCTTGTAATGTAACGGATGTATGCCCACTGGTAACTGGTATTTTGTCATGGACGTCAGCACAGCTACTACAAAATAACAACAAACACGTTTTACAATATTGCTGCGATTTCTCGTTTTTACAACTACGACAAATGAATTCAGGTCCAGCTTGTGTGTGATAGAAGTCCATCAAATCCATGATAAGAATATTGTCGGGGAAATCCGCAACACCTCTACGTGGTAGCCAATGCTTTCGGGAACATGTACTGCACGTGACACTGTCGTTAGTTGTACTCGTATCGTTGATTATACACCCTTCACAGAATGTATGAGAGCAGGGTAGACATTTTGGAATGCTGAACTGATAGCCACATTTTGAGCATAACAGGAATGCCACAATTTCTGTCGCCATATTCAAAGAACTGCAAATAAAACATAGGTTTGGGATCAGTTTGATTTTATTCCCAATCTACAATGCCAGTTTTGATGTTTTATCTACTGCGACAGACTGGCATGTCCAACTCATTGTAGTATTTAGTGGCTGTATGACTTCAACGCTATTATACTACTTGAATAATATGCAAAGATAAAATTCAGTATTATAAATTTGATATGGTGTAGTGGTGAATCCTATATTTCAATAGTTTCAAATGTCATCGAGAAATAATGTATTTATCCTGCGATTCGTATGACCTGATTTAATTTATTGGCCATGAACATTCCACTATACATATTTTGTATCGAATACCTATGTGTGGGGCTAGAACGTCAGAAGAGTAAATAAAGAAACACAGGAACTGGATAATTTGTTATAAACGCGTTGCTATGATAAAGTAAAACAACATGTTATTATCTGAACGTGTGTTTATGCAAACTTAGAATATTGTTATTTTATTTAATAAGGATGATCTCGAGCCTCTACAATACAAAATAAATACAGTACCACGATGTTTCTCTTAGTTGGACGTCAGTGATTACCACTATATTTGCGGTAATCATGAGCGTCTGTTGACGTCAACCTGGAAACAAATATCGTTGGATTTCATATTTATTACAAGCCTTAGAGTGTTTCCGAATCACAAAAACGTGACTTTTCAACATATTTTCAACACATTTGATAGAGCGAATGAATAATGATTCTGAAAATAAACAGCGTGAAGTAAAATTACTGCAATTTGTTTTTTATCGGGTTGTATCTGAGAACAACCTTAGCACGCATAGTGAAATCAAGTTTGACTGTATACGATGTCAAACAAAATATATGAAATATGCGCGGTATGCATGTGATCACTAGTGTTATTATATGCAGAATGTACGACGAGTGTGTTTGTAACACAAACAGCACTTCCAACTATTAGTACTCCCGAAGAAAATGCTATTATTTTAGAACAAAATTGTTTTGTTGGGACGTATTGTTATAATTTCAATTAGGTCTGAATATTTTAATCTGTGGACTGATCAGTTAAACTAGAATTGGAATAAATGATGTAAGGACAGTTGTTATTCGATATGATATTTGTAAAAATATAGCACAAATAAGTGAAGAGTGATAGATAAATTCCTATAACGTATCCACTATAGAAACTCCTGGAGTACACGCCCTCTACGTCTGCATACATGGATTCCAAAGGAATATTAAAAGTACACGAGCATGGTTTGATTGTTTTTCTAAACTACAATCTGTTTATTTAAGTATGACTGCAATCAATTGTATACAATTACAAAACATTATACTACACTACTACACACATAATAACACAAACCAAGAACTATTCAAACACATACGGGTTATGGAAATTGCATTTTCTGGCTGGGTATATCCAACACATCCTACATTATTCAACAACATAGAGACTAAAATTCTGTAATGTTTTCTAGTAACAGTTCATAACACCAACCTACTATTCCCCGTCTTCCTATTCATTCAAAGCAACCACCCTGTAGTTTAACGACCTGCAAATCAAGGTTTTCAGAACAGACATTGGTACTTGCGACAAAACGACGAGCTAAAAGCACACCTGCCCACTATTTGGAGTTTTTAGTGGTGTGATTTTGTAGCGATGGTGATAGGCGGTTGGAAGCCTTCCAACAGTTAATGACGTGCTATTCGAGACTGTCGCGTGCTTTTTTACAGCAATGCATTAACGACAACACTTGCAGACCTCTTTAAAACATAAACAGGTTTTACAATCATATACTAGTATATCATTTCAAGTTAACGGTCTAAATTAACGGCATGTATGGTTATCTAGTAGCAAAAACTTAGCATCTAACTGCGTAATATATATCAGGGGGAAATATCTTCTCTCGGGGTTCTCCACACTTGCCAGGGGGGAAACTCGTCTCGTCTCTATATCTCGTCCCCTTGAGGTACGGGATCGGGAAAGTCACTTTAACTTTACAGTCAAATAAGACACACACAACGAAATACGTTTCAGCTCTCGTCTTAGTCGATCGTTTGGAGCACTCTATAAGACACAGCGCCCTGGGGAAAAGTCCCCAAGACTCTCACAAGGCTGAACCAAGACTCGCCCAAGACTGGGCTGCCTCAAGGCTCGCCCCTGGACTGGACTCTCGACTGCAGGACTGTTCTCTCTTCTGCGTCTATCGTGCTGTGTTCCCCAAGACCAACTCAAACTCTCTTTATTCATTTTCAAAACTCTAACCAATTACAAAACAGTAAAAGACTCTAGGGCGTAACCTTCAATCATAAAGCCAATCACACTAAGTACTGAATACGTCATATCTTTTGATTAATCGTTCACTACATTAATAACTATGAACATAAACTGTCAGAATCGCGACGGTTATCTGGTAATTAGTTCCAAATCACTGAGCCAAGTTCCGTCCAAAACTTCAAATAGACCTAAACGATGACAGACATAACACAGCAATTCGCTCGTAATCAACTAATTAAGTCGGTCAACAGATACGCGAAAACAAATTCACGACATATACAACAATCCATTCAGTGTTGCTTCGGGCAATCAAGCTGCTCTAAGCAAATGGTTATCCAAGCATAATATGTTGCTTCTTTTGGAAGACATTTATCGACATCTCATTCATAACATTCAGCACTAATAGAATCATGTCATACATTGTTAGTGTTACTAGGAAACAAATATTGGTCAGTGGCGGCTGCAGAAGTGAACACGATATAACAGTAATATTTTAACTTTGATTCCACATAGCGGAGACTTTTACAAAATCTCACCAAACTTAGAATTAAATTGTGATTATTACAGACCAAACTCGTGCTTTTGATCACATCATTTGTGCATGTTTTTGGTTTAAGTAATGTACATTTCTTATATATAGAAGGTTCCGAGTACAATTTGAATTATATTTATTTCTGGGGTCGTCAAACTGCCAAACATAAAACTCAAATACAATATAATTTTTATAATGGTAAATTGGATGACAAAAAAGACGAATAGAATGTTGAAGTGGCTTCTATCGGAAAGGAGAATTGGAATTTGGTATTTGATTTGGAATAATTTGCCATATGGAAAAGATGATAAGTCATCAACTACATGAGTCCCGACATCGGGTCATACAAACCAATTGGCTAATTTTATAGAATTTATTTTTTTAAAGTAACAAAAAGCTTGTCTTTGCCCACAAATGTTTATATGTGAATGTCAATCTATACCAATAATATTTTTTTTTATTCAAACTTACTTAATTGCGTAATAACAAGAATGCAATTACTTAATATATGACAAGTCTTCCTAGTGTGTCTGCTGTTATGCTTTGAGATATATTCGTGTTATTATGAATAAATCTGAAATCGTTAATCGCAGTTGCGCTGTAATCTTTCCCAATTGTGTCTTTAAATTCCTGTATTACTTGCTTAACTATATACAAGAAGCCAGCACCTTGATCATCCTGCTGCAACATTTCTGCAGCATTGATGCACTTTGCGCTTTTCCATGCCTTCACACAATCCTGCTTTGCTCTTTTTACCGAAATTCATTGATATTTCCCCCCAAAAAAACTAGATTCATCTTTTTTAGATCCTTTATAAGTTGTTTGCATTCTGCTTGTAGAGAATTGGCACGACTGTTTCATTGTGTTGTTCACCTTTAGCTCAAGACGTTTACTTTCTTCATTCAAATCTTCCATTATTCCTATCAAATCTTGTTTTCAAATTAGTTGCTCCTTTTATTTTCAAATCAATTTCAGCTTCCTTTCTGGCCCTTGCATCGCCAATCTTTTGACGAGTGTGATTAGGCCCCGTGTGATTCTTATCTACTAATGTATCGCATATTGGATTATCACAATCTCTACAGTACAGCTTTAGATTTTTATTAGAATGGCGGTGACACATAATAGAACTCGACTTCATGAGAGGGGATTCTTTGAGGATGGTTGTACGATACTCTTCTACAGACATCAATTATTCATGTGCCCTGGTTATCGGTATGTTTTTATGTACGTCTTAACAGTCACCGCAGAGCGCTCTACGACAATTTGTGCAAAACACTGTATGTTGCCAGAGCACACCCCGCATTCTCGTGACGATTCCAAACGTTTTCTAGCCGATGATTGTTCAATGAGAGTTCCAAACCAGCAGATTGTTCCCTGTTTACCTTGTACGCAACGGTGGCAAACAGAGTGATAGCAAGGCAGAATCTTCGGAAAATCGAATGTACGAAAGCCGGACATTGACACTGAGAACTGAATAGATATGTGTTGTTGTAATTTAAATTGGTTCATCTTTCCTACAGCACATGACACCATGGTACCCATCACCAATGGATGACAAGTGCGTCAGGATAAGTTAGTTTAGATGACGTTTGTCTTCCTGGCGATATCGCTGACCTAGCCCCATATTACATACAAGCTGTCACAGTATGCATTGTGGGCGGACGTTGAGTTCAGAAAATTCATTATATAACAATGGCATGATCGTCCATTTCCATACAGGGCCACTTGGCTCAACGTGCATTTCAAAATTATTAACAAAGTGGCAGTGCGAAATATATTCTGAAATGACATAGTTCTAACAAAAGAATGATTACAGTATGTGATTATTCAGCATGTCATAACTAATATCTTCAAATCATATATTCACGCTGTTATGAAGGTTTATTTAGAGCTTGAGTCATTAATAAAGAACATAAATTATGTATAATTCAGAAAAAAAATCCAGTACCAACGCAGCCAATAAAACGTTTACGATCACACGACTTACAAGCACACAATCATTAAAGTGGGTCGACTTTTATACATTGTGTTTCTTAGCTTCAAACTAAGTGAGTTTAAATGACAGAAATGAAATGCAACAAAAATTGACCATGTCCGTCTTACTAAAAGACGGCAAGATTTCCGAAGCGTCTACATGTAAAAACTTGAATGTAAAACAGATTTCAAGTTTAGCTTCACAACGAAGAATTGCACTTACCTTATTATTTTGAGCGATGCCGAAGACGTGGTAACTGGAATAACGATTCTGATTTGTTTATAGCGACACTATTTGTATATAATTATTATAGTTGAATAGCAACCTTAGCACTGTCAACCAATCGGCGTAAACGGTGGAGAATTACGTTTGATTGTTTAGTCAAATAAAATGTCAATTGGTTTTAAGGTCGCTGGTGATTGAGATTTGTAATGCGTGTGATCAACTTTTTAATTTGGTATTTAATATTACCGTAGTTGTCAAAGTATAAAGCCCTGCTCGAGTATAGCCCCCTCCCTCCAAATGTAAAGCATTTTACAACAAGTCATTTATCCGATTATAGCCCCCCCCCCTAATCTGGCAAAATTATTTGGTATGTGAATAACGGTAGGTTCCATTCTGAAGGATATAGTGGCCTTGAAAAGGGCCGTTTGATTTGTGTTTGCACAGTTATACGCAAACGTTATTAATGTACCTCCACTTTGGAATGCGTTTCGTGTAGTAACGGTTCTGCCGTAAATTCGCCCTAAGCCGCTAAACTGCAGTTTCGGTTTTTAAAAAAATAAAATGGAACCAATAAATCGATTTTAGCCCCCCCCCCCCAGTCTGGCAAAATTATTTGGTATGTGAATAACGGTAGGTTCCATTCTGAAGGATGTAGTGGCCTTGAAAAGGGCCGTTTGATTTGTGTTTGCACAGTTATACGCAAACGTTATTAATATACCTCCACTTTGAAATGCGTTTCGTGTAGTAACGGATCTGCCGTCAATTCGCCCTTAGCCGTTAAACGGCAGTTTTTAAAGTTGTTTTTTAAATATTTTGCAGTCATTTTTCGGACATTTCAATCTTTCTTGACGCCTAAAATAGTATATTTAAGTTTTTATTCAAGAGCGTGTTTATTGTGACTAGCGTGAATGGGTGAGCTGTAAACATTGTTAAATTATTCTCAAATGCTTAGTTTATCTTTTGAAAACAACTATTTTTTGATTTGAGAAAAAAAATCATGGCGTTTTCCCATCAAAATCCAAGCCAAAAGATCGTACTACAACATCGGCAAATCTATTCTGCGATACGTTCAATACATTGACACATTTAAATGAGCCATGGTAATTTGAACACGTTGGCATCATCCAGCATTTTAATTAGTTAATTAGCGATTTGACCTATTAGGTCAACCCGTGCAAGATAAAGAACATATGGCGGATACCCAACAGCATCAAGCGTTCATAAGCGACCGGAATCATTTGCTTACGATGGAACTAAGTTGAATTTTATTTGCATTTCATAACAATTCAACGAATTTATTTTTTGCACGTTATTATAATCACTACTGAGTAATAATCACCAATTGTGACACGCAGCATGACCAGATTGTGCAATCGTGATTATTTGCTGCTACGCAATACAGTTAATTTGGACGATGCTAGTCGATGAAGACACTCTAGTATCGTTCACACGACGACTTGTTTATGAATAAATTAACATATATTATCTCTCGGTTTTAACTTTTATCCTATTTATAAGCCCTCCCCCACCTCTCACCTTAATTTTTCGTAATTTGTCTATTTCAAATTAGAATTAAGTGGGGTAGAAATAGGTGTTTTCTCAAGTTGTTAAATGAGATTACATGTTGGCAATGAACCACTACCTCTTGTGACAAAAATAATAGCAATATGGCGGTGCTCCTAACCTATCAACTCGACTGCACATGTTCATTAAGTCATTATGGAATAACTCGTTATTACATGTCATTTAGAACAAAATACTTTGCGACGGATAGTTTGGCATAAGGAGGTGCGCGACTGCTTGCAAATTAAAATCGTATGTGAATGATATTTATATTGTACTAGTATAATATCAGGTAGTCTTCTCAATCTGTACTCTAATGCAACTAATATAGGGACAACGTTTCAGCGTGGCCATAAAATATAGATTTTAAAACAATTGAGATCGGACATTCCACAAATTAGTTGCTCATGTAAATCTACTTTTTCTCTATGTAGTTTGTAAACTGACCACAATTTGCAAGATTTCTAATTTAATCAAATTTTTTAACAAGGTGTGTTTACACTGTACGTAATGTCACCCACACCGCTCCCATGACGTAAATTACGTCTCAATGTTGGTATGGCTGTCTTGGGAATGAGGTCGACTTTTATCACTTTTATCGAGGTATGGATTTAATGATCTCATGTGACTCAATAATGTTAAATATAATTAAGTAAATTTAAGAGATATTGCATTGCTTACAAACAAACCGCCACGAACCATTTCCAACACCAATGTTTGTATTTCAGCCAGGTGATGTCCTCGGACGGCAAATACTTCGGCGTTAAAACTGCTTGACTAGAAGTTTCCTTGACAACACAGATAAACATACTCTTCCATTAAATGAATGGACAAGTTTACTACTCACCGAATGTATCTGTTTGCTATAAACAAACCGCCTTTCCTGAATATTGCTCACTGTACTGGCTCGGCTCAGATCTGTGCATAGATCAAAGAATTCACAATATTCAAACAATAGCAGATTGCATATTAATTTAACAAAAATCCTTAGTGTAATCATAAAGTTTGGTATATGTACAAATGTGAAACATAATGCTAATAGTGTGTTTGCCTGTGGGAATTATGTGAGGACATACATTTTGGACACACAGTACTAGTAGCAGGGGCGAATTTAGGATTCTGAAATAGGGGGGCCGATAAGTTGGCCGAAGGCCAAGTTCGCGAGCGCCGATGGCGCGAAGCCCTGTTGGTTGTTAAAAATAGGGGGCGCGGGCCCCTCTAAATCCGCTCATTAGTAGTGTGTTTGCCTATGGGAATAATGCGAGGACCTTCATTTTTAACACATAGTACTTACATGCTGCATTACATGCTGCCACGTTGATCTTATGAACCAATTTACTTTTTACTAAAAATCTTATAACAACGCGTTTCCTTGTAGTCAGTTATTTACCCGTAGTGTGATTCACATAGTTTTCAAACATTGTAGTGCGTTTGTATTTCTGCTTAGGGATTGGTAGGGGGGGTCGTAATGAAAATGAATAATGATTCCGAAAATAAACAGCGTGAAGTAATATTACTGCATTTTTTATCGGGTCGTCTGGTACCTGAGATCAACCTTATAGCACGCATAGTGAAATCAAGTTTAACTGTATACGATGTCAAACAAAATATATGAAATATGCGCGGTATGCATGTGATCACAAGTGTTATTATATGCAGAATGTACGACGAGTGTGTTTGTAACACAAACAACACTTCCAAATACTACTCATTTTAGAACATAGTCGTTTTGTTGGGACATATTGCTTATAATTTCAATTAGGTCTGAATGTGTTATTCTTCGGATTTATCAATTAAGCTATAATTGGATTAAATGATGAAGGCACAGTTGGTATTCGAAAAACCATAGCACAAATAAGTGAAGAGTGATAGATAAATTCCTATAACGTATCCACTATAGAAACTCCTGGAGTACATGCCCTCTACGTCTGTATACATGGATTTAAAAGAATTATTAAAAGTACACGAGCATGGTTTGATTGTTTTTCTAAACTACAATCTGTTTATTTAAGTATGACTGCAATCAATTGTATACTATCACAAAACATTATACTACACTACTACACACATAATAACACAAACCCAGAACTATTCAACCACATACGGGTTATGGAAATTGCATTTTCTGGCTGGGTATATCCAACACATCCTACATTATTCAACAACATAGAGACTAACATTCTGTAATGTTTTCTAGTAACAGTTCATAACACCAACCTACTATTCCCCGTCTTCCTATTCATTCAAAGCAACCACCCTGTACATTTAACGACCTGGAGGTTGTGTGCGTCGTTTTCGTCATCATAATACACATAAGCAAATCAAGGTTTTCAGAACAGACATTGGTACTTGCGACAAAACGACGAGCTAATAGCACACCTGCCCACTATTTCGAATTTTTAGTGGTGTGATTTTTTAGCGATGGTGATAGGCGGTTTCAATAGTTAATGACGTGCTATTCGAGAATGTCGCGTGTTTTTACAGCAATGCATTAACGATAACACTTGTAGACCTCTTTAAAACATAAACAGGTTTTACAATCATATACTACTATATCATTTCAAGTTCGATTTCGATGTAAATTAACGGCATGTATGGTTATCTAGTAGCAGAGACATGGTTATACTTATTGAGTAGTATAGAATAACTATCCCTTGGCATTCAACTGTGTAATATACATCAGTACATTCAGGGTTTCTTCAGGCAAATAAATCAAGCTGCTCTAAGCAAATGGTTATCCAAGCATATGTTGCTTCTTTTGAAAGACATTTATCGACATCTTATTCATAACATTCAACACTGCAAGAATCATGTGAACACAAAAAAGCATAACAGCAATATTTTAACTTTCATTCCACATAGCAGAGACTTTAACACAATCTTACCAAACTTAGAGTTAAATTGTGATTATTACAGACCAAACTCGTGCTATTGTGCAAGTGTTTGGTTCAAGTAATGTCATTTTTCTTATATATAGAAGGTTCCGAGTACAATTTGGATTTTATTTATGTCCGGGGTCGGCAAACTACCAAACATAAAACTCAAATACAATATAATTGTAATAATGGTAAATTGGATGACAAAAATGACGAATACGATGTTGAAGTGGCTTCTCCCGGAAAAGAGAATGGATAATAATAATAATTTTCCATATAGAAAAGATGATAAGTCATCAATTACACATGCCCTGACATCAGGTCATACAAACCAATTGGCTAATTGAATTTGTTTGCTTTTTTACAACAAGCTTTTCTTTGTGCACAAATGTTGATAGATGAATATCAATCTATACCAATAGTATTTTATTTTTTTGATTCAAAATTACTTCATTGCGTAATATTAAGAATGAGTAATTGGTTAATATATGACAAGTCTTCCTAGTGTGTCTGCTGTTATGCTTTGAGATACATTCGTGTCATTTTGAACAAATCTGAAATCCTTAATCGCAGTTGCGCTATAATCTTTCCCAATTGTCTCTTTAAATTCCTGTATTACTTGCTTAACCATATACAAGAAGCCAGCACCTTGACCATCCTGCTGCAACATTTCTGCAGCATCGATGCACTTTGTTAGCTTTCCCATGCCTTCACACAATCCTGCTTTGCTCTTTGAAATAGCATCACCTCTTTTACCGAAATTCAATGATATTTCCCGAAAAAGACTAGATTCATCTTTTTTTATATCCTTTATAAGTTGTTTGCATTCTGCTTGTAGAGAATTGGCGCGACTGTTTATTTGTGCTGTTACCTCTTCCACCTTCATCTCAAGACTTTCACTTTCTTCATTCAAATCTTTCATAATCCCATCTAATCTTGTTTTCAGATTAGTTGCTCCTTTTATTCTTAAATTAATTTCAGCTTCCTTTCTGGCCCTTGCGTCACCAACCTTTTCACGAGTGTGATTGGGCCCCGTGTGATCCTTATCGACACAGGTATCACATATCGGATAATCACAGTCTCTACAGTACAGCTTTAGAATTTTATTAGGATGGCGGTGACACATAATAGAACTGGACTTCGTGAGAGGCGATTCTTTGAGAATGGATGTACGATACTCCTGTACAGAGATCAATACATGTGTCCTGGTTATCGGTATACTTTTATGTACGTCTTCACAGTCACTGCAAAGCGCTCTACGACAATTTGTGCAAAACACGTTTGGTTTTTTACCTTGACGTGACTTGATCGATTTATGCGCTGTGTTGCCAGAGCACACCCCGCATTCTCGTGACGATTCCATAAGTTTTCTCGCCGATGAATGTTCAATGAGATCATTCAGGAACCGATTGTCGGGCAAGAGTTCCAAACCAGCAGGAGGAACTTTGTGTAACATTTTGCATAACGGACAGTTTATTGTTTCCTCTTTCACATGTAAACAACGGAGGCAAACAGAGTGATAGCAAGGCAGAATCTTCGGAAAATCGAATGTACGACAGCACGCCGGACATTCAATCCATTTATCAGACACTGAGAACTGACTAGATATGTATTGTTGTGTTATATACTGGTTCACCTTTCCTACAGCACGTGACACCACAGTACCCATCACCTATGGATGAGAAGTGCATAAGGATAAGTTAGAATGACTATCGAGCCAATTATTTATCACAATATTATTTCAATATCTCAGTTAGTATTTTCAATTTAAGAAAATATTGCAACTAATATCTATAAAATTTAGATTTTAAATCAATGCGGTTCTATTCACTTCATAATTGGATCGTAAATCCCACAATTTATAAAAATTACTCGTGTAAATCAACTTTGGTTTTAAGTAGATTGTAAACTGACCACACTTTAAAACTAGCAAAGGTTGTCGCCGTGTAGTCATAGTTAACACACTCAAAAATGACGTAACTGCCTAGAAAATATTTGCGTTTATAGCTCTTATCGTGGTACTGCTCTTATGAAGGTTTATTCAGAGCTTGAGTTATTAATCAAGAACATGAATTATGTATAATTTAGAAAAACTGCCATTGCCAACACAGTCAATAAAACGTTTACGATCACACGACTTACAAGCACATAATTTAAAGTGGGTCGACTTTTATATACATTGTGTTCCTTAACTTCAAACTAAGCGAGTTTAAATGACAGACATGAAATACAACAACATGTTAATATGTCCGTCTTAGTAAAAGACGGCAAGATTCCCAATGCGTCTACATGTAAAAACTTTAAGTTTAGCTTCATAACGAAGAATTGCGCTTACCTTATTATTTTTACCGATGCCGAAGACGTGGTAACTGGAATATCAAATCTGATTTGTTTATAACGACACTATTTGTATATAATAGTTGGATAGCAACCTTATCACTGTCAACCAATCGGCGTAAACGTTGGAGAATTACGTTTGATTGTTTGTAATGTGTTTAGTCCAATACAATGTCAAATGGTTTCAAGTTCGCAGGTGATTGAGATTTGCAATGCGTGTGATCAACTTTTTTATTTGGTGTTTAATATTACTGTAGTTGTCCGAGTATAAAGCCCTGTTCGAGTCTATCCCCTCCAAATTTAAAGCATTTGTCATTTATCCGATTATAGCCCCCGGTCAACTCGACTGTACATGTTCATCAAGTCATTATTACCTGTCATTTAGAACAAAATACTTTGCGACGGATAGGTGGCATGGGGAGGTGCGCGACTGATTGCAAATTAAAATCGTACTGTAATATTTTAATAATATTTAGATTGTAGTGGTATAATATCAGGTAGTCCTCTTAATCTGTACGCCACTGCAACTAATATTGGGATATTTTTTTAGCGTGAGCACAAAAAATAAATTCTTAAACAAATGAGATCGTAAATTCCAAAAATAATTTGCTCATGTTAATCTACTTTGGCTCTATGTAGTTGGTAAACTGACCAAAAGATTTTTAATTTAATCAACATTTTTTAACAAAGCGTGTTTACAGTTATACACTGTGTTGTCACCCCACACCGCACCCATGACGTAAATCAATGTTGGTATGTCTGAATGTTGGTATGGCTGTCTTGGGAATGAGGTCGGCTTTTATCACTGTTAACGAGGTATGGATTTAGTGATCCCATATGACTCAATAATGTTAAATATAATTAAGTATAATTTAAGAGATATTGCAGTACTAACACAAACCGCTACGAACCACTTCCAACACCAATGTTTGTATTTCAGCCAGGTGATGTCCTCGGACGGCAAATATTTCGGCGTTAAAACTGCTTGACCAGAAGTTTCCTTGACAACACAGATAAACATACTCTTCTATTAAATGAATCGACAATTTTACTACTCACCGAATATATATGTTCGCTATAAACGTACCGGCTTTCCTGAATATTGTTCAATGTACCGGCTCGGCTCGGATCTGTGCATAGAGCAAAGAATTCACAAACAAGCAATAGCAGATTGTATATAAACTTGACGAAATCCTTAGTGTAATCATGCAGTTTGGTTTATAACAAATGTGAAACATAATGCTAATATTGTGTTTGCCTATAGGAATAATAGCGGAGACTCATTTGAGAAGGTTAATCACCTGAACCGATGAATTTGAACTGAGCATTGATAAAACGTTTACATTCATTTGGTTCTCATGTTAAGGTGATATGAAAAATTAACAGTTTGTGACATGAAACATTGAGATAATTATGAAAAGGCCGTCAACTGAGGATGTGATTTCAGCTCGAGCTGAGAGGGTTCAGTGATGGACTTGCCTCTTCCTGAACGCAACAACGATAATTATTTTGGCTGCTTAAGTAACATATTTTCGGCACGTGCTGAAAACCCGACTGGACGAAGCTAAAGTTAGGAATTGAAATACGTATTTTTTTTACTGTGAATGTGTACAAATGCCTGTTTACAGTAGGTGATCCTTTTACGATTTTATCAAATAAATCATAAATCATAAACTTTACTATATTTATGTTAGTTGACTGACATATGAGATCGGACAAATGCTGATAAACACTGTATGATTAATTTACAGTAATGTATGTTAATGTTGTTATTAAAAAATAGATGCGTCGTCTTGGTGATTGTTATGATTTATTTAAATCTGCATGACTTAACATGGCATAGAAGGATTTGACACCAAACTGTTTGCGAACAGGTCAGGGTAGTTCACCCCACCGCCGTAGCCTCGTATATGGTATTGACAAGACGTCATTCTTTTTAATCTTCACAAATTTTGATGCAGAGATTTCATGATGACTGATTCGCTCAGCAGCACATACCACTTATTTGCCCACTACTCGCTACTATATGGTTAAGGTCAATTTTACGAGTGATGGCGCTATTTGTGTAAAAATTGTGACCGTGACATGAAAAGGCGAATTTTGCAAGATTTCTAATTCAATCAAATTTGTTTAACAATGCGTGTTTACAGTTATACACTGTATTGTCACCCCACACCGCACCCATGACGTAAATCAATGTTGGTATGTTTGAATGTTGGTATGGCTGTCTTAGGAATTAGGTCGACTTTTATCACTGTTATCGAGGTATGGATTTAATGATCCCATATGACTCAATAATGTTAAATATAATTAAGTATAATTTAAGAGATATTGTATTGCTAACAAACCAACCGCCACGAACCACTTCCAACACCAATGTTCGTATTTCAGCCAGGTGATGTCCTCGGACGGCAAATATTTCGGCGATAAAACTGCTTGACCAGAAGTTCCTTTGAGAACTCAAATAAACATACTCTTCTATTAAATGAATCGACAAGTTTGCTACTCACCGAATGTATCCGTTTGCTATAAACAAACCGGCTTTCCTGACTCCATATTCGTCGAGAAATCGATATTGATCGTGTTGTGGATACGTTCGCAAAGTTACACCCAAGGAATAAAACTTATGTAATGTATTGTGTGATATGCCAAATCAGAGTAGTGTGCCACACAAGCTATTGTCAGTTTCTTCATTTTCACATATATCATGTAACAAAATGATGTTACAAAAAGAAGAAAATGAAATAAAATATGATTTGTCTGTTTTAGGGCATATTACTATTTTATATGGCAAGCAAATATAGCACTATCTCACAAAATTTCTCGGTAACATATGCTGAAACAGATATATGTATTTATATTTTAGTAGGTTCATAAAATAGAGATGCATTCCTTGTAGTTTATGAAGACCGCTGCTAAACTACCACTGTATGCTAGTAGACTTGCTAAGGGCAAAAAAGGGATGATCGCTGCATTTTTTAGTACAAATGTCTCACTTGGCACAGATGTTCTTTGGGGCAATTGACACATTTTCATCCAAAGAGACATTCTGTATCTATGCCAATAAGGCCTAATTTGCATATTTTATGCAAATTAATTAGAAAATTTCCAAAATAATATTAAAAAATATATATTCATCCAAAACAAATGTCTATCTTAGTATAAACTTTCTATGGAGCAAGTAGAAAAGTATTATGCAAAATAAGTCAAGTATTTATGCAAATAACCACCTTATTGAAAATTGTCAATTATCGAGGTTCTTTTGGTAAAAATGTCCTTCTTGGCAAACGTGTTCTTTGGATCAAAAGAAAAAATATTCATTCAAAGAAACACCTGTCTCTATGTACTTAACACCTAATTAGCATATTATGCATATTAATTATACCAAATTCACCAATAAGCAAAAAGTATTGTAATTGATTTATTTTGAACAACTTTTTCAGATATGAAGTGGTTATAAAGTTTGACCAAAAATAAACTATTCATAAATCTTCATAAATGGTATGAATAATGCATAAATTATGCAAATTAGAACCATACATATTGGATAATCTCAAAATATTAAAATCAATATTGATTTCATCCAGAAATGAGTGAATAATGGCTCTTTAATGCAAAAGACAAATAAATCTATACAAACACTATTTCTTCTTTCAAACTACCTTTTAATTAACATAAATTATGCAAATTAGTTCTGATAACTAGTGGAGCCTCACAACGGGAACTCACAATGTTTCAGAATTTATATTAATATTTAATCGAATTTAAATCAAGTTTGCGAAGCTTAGGTTTAATATAGAAGGAAGGCATGGTTCAATTTATATCAAATATATCATTAATATAATTGTACCATACCTTCCCCCGTTACTAAACCTAAGCTTCGTAAACATCTCTATGTTCAGTCACGAGATATCCAACTATTATTTATTTAAACTTAATTAAAACGGAATTCTACGTTGTATTACATTGCAATTGAGTTTAATTAAACTCCAATTAAAACGCAACCCTATATAGGAACGCTTTTTAATCGAGTCCATGTCGCGACTATATTAAAAGTTAATTCAATGTGTGGCATTACAACTACGGTAAGACCTGTATGTGTATTTGTGCGTGTGTGTACACATCAATGATTTATGGAAGTTTTCATGACTGTTGATTAATTTCTCCCATAAGCACGAGTTAGATTGTAGCGGAAAACAATGCAAAGAATTATTCTTGATTCTTGAAGTGGTACAGGCCCTCAAGTTTGAAATACACAATCAATATACATGATATCATTATACATATTTATTGCTTATTCTATAACAAAATTGGAATGCGAGTATCACAATG